AACAAAAACAAATAATACTCACAATAAACGTTGTAAGCGCCAAACTAAACGTAATCTTTCTTTATCGAGAATTCACGCGGTTATTGCCATTTAATCTAATGATGAATCAGTTATCGATATACGCATGATTACATTTGTTATCGATGAAATCTCAAAAACGATCATATTGTTGCGCCCGTCTCCGGCGCGACTTGCTCTCGCTATGTTGAGGCTCTAGTCTCACCGATCATTACTTATAGATCATCTTCAGGAGCGACATCGGAAGAACGATCAACCCTTCAGGCCACGAGTTGTTTGGCGGCCTGTCAGATTTAAACATGAGCTTGGATGCATGAATGGTTTATCTTGTACGTACAAGTTAATAATAAACGATTGCTTCGTTCTCAAAGGATCGAGAGAGTGTTTTTTTGTTTCCTGCGAGCACATTATGCGAGTATACGGTTTCTCTACCGCAAAAGTGCGAATGCTAGTTCGCAAATGCGGAAATTCAAATGCGAGTTTGCGACCCCTTGACGCAACAATATTATGATTTGGCTTGAATTATGGATGATTCTTTATTTTTCCTTCCCGTGACTTGCGAGATACTCCGACGGAAAGTTGCAACAGTTCTGGATATTTACATTTAAAGGAACGTCATTGTCATTGTCTATTGATGCATAAATTAATATTGGGTATATGCTGCAGGGTGTCCGAAAAGTCAGTTATTGCCCTTTTTATTTGGAAACGGCTTTAGATACAAAAAAATGTTTCAAAAGTTGTTTGACTTCCAGGGGGACATAAAATGGTACCATTGGTTTGATCTTTGGTAGCGCTGTCAAGGTCAGGGAAAAGTCACTTCAAATTTTTTAAATGAAACCCCCTATTTTTTATTACATATCTTTGTAGCTTATCCCAAAAGCTTTCCAAAACACATAGATAAAATAGTTTTTTAAAAATAAATTTTGATTTATGAAGCTTAAATTTTGCAGTAGGGGAGAGTTGCCGAATGCGTATCACTTAAGATATTTTTTGTTTGGTTATATTTTACATTTAGTACTATTTAGAATGCAAATATACGTTGGAAATTGTAGGTTGATGTTCAAGGCATTTAATATTACATGTTAATTTTTCACTAATAGCAAATTAATTTATTCTAAACTTTTTTGTAATATGCTGTCAAAAGATTCATCAAATCGGTCGCCTAAATCGTATCTGTGAATTTTATTAATAGTACCTTCTTCTAAACTATTGAATTTATGAATGAAAATAATTAAAAGCACAAGATTGATAAAAGAATCATGAATTAATATCTACTTTAATTGTAATTTATCAAAGAATACAGCTGTTTTGCTTATGCAACTCTATGACGGTTTTTCGTCTACAGACTTGCTACAGAACAACTTCGATCGTGTCAAAATAAATAATGTTAATTATCTCATGTGATCTATAAAGATAAAGACACATTAATGTTTCTAAATTGTACCGATACGATATAAGAACTCTTATGCTGATTAGGTTAGGTATGATTTAGGAAACTTGAC